AAAAGAGCATTGACTGAACTGGAGCAACAACATCCCTAAAGATTATTCCCAGTGCCCTCAGAATTCCTAGGAATATCCTGGATTTCCATTTCAGGGTCTTTATTCCCATTAAATCCCCCTCATTCCCAAACCCCCTCAGCTCCAAAAGCACCTTTTCCCAAGGGAACATCCCCTGCAAAGCAAACACAGGAGCTGCTCTGAGCCAGAAATTAATAATTAATATTCCATAATTAATTGTGGAGATTAATAATTACGGGAAAATCACTTTAAAACCCGGTTTGGGACTTTTATTTTTTGCATCCTACCCCTCACTTTTTTATATTTAGATATAATTTCATGGATAAAAGGATTGTTATCTGTATTTTAAGGCTGTTTCTTTTTGTAATTGATCATTTTGGGGGGAAAAAAATCAATCATTTGGGGGGAAAAAATCCATCATTTGGGGGGAAAAAAATCCATCACTTGGAGGGAAAAAAATCCATCATTTTGGGAGTTCCATGCCCCAACTCATCCTGGGAGGGTTTTCCCTCAGTTTGCCCTTAAATCCTGGGGGATGTCTCCACACTGTTGTCCTTGGAAGTTTCCCTGTGGATGTTCCCTCCCAAATTGGGGTGTTTTGAGGGTCTCTTGTTGAAGCAGAGCCGTTAAACTGGAACCAAATGACAATAAACCACCTCACTGGGGGTTGATCCCATAGAATCCCAGGATTATTTGGGTTGGAATGACCTCAGAGGTGATCCAGCTTCACCCCTTTTGGAGTTGGATCCCACTTTTCTGCTATCCCAGGTTGCTCCAAGCCTTGGACACTCCCAGGGATGGGGCAGCCACAGCTTCTCTGGGCAAACCTGTGCCAGCTGCAGGAATTCCAAGGTGGAAAAGCATCTTCTGCACTGATTTTACTGGGGGGAAGATCCTCACAGGAATTCCAGCAACTTCAGGGAGGCTGGAAAACAGAACCTGAGGGGCAAAACTGTTCCCAAAAGGCCAAGTCCCCTCAGGGTGGGGTGCTGAAATAATTAAAGGGAACACAAAATGTAACTGTGGGAGGGTTAAGAGTTACAATCCCAGGGTATAAATCCACCAGGCCAGGCAAAAATCCTTCAGGATTTTCCAAGGACGATTCCAAAGGGCAGTAAATGGAGCTGGGAGTAAACCACAGAACCAGGGAATCACCACCTTCCCTACGCTCCTCCAGAGCGTCCTGAGCACCCCCTGCCCTAAAAACCAACCGTGTGGGCAGCTTTAAAAACCCCAAACTGGGGCAGACCCACCTTCCTGAGGGGGGTGGAGGCAGCCAAAGGACTCGTGTTCCTCTTGGATTCTGCCCCCAGCTGCACCTCGGGGGAGCTCGCGGAGCTCAGCGAGGAGTTGGTGAGTCCCGAGTCCCCCTCGGGAGAGGATTCCAGGGTGTCGTTCCCCGACGTGGCGCTTCCACCCGGAGAAGCCCCCTGGGGGCCTTTCCCGGCCATGATGTCCTCCAGGAGCACCACGGGCACCTTCCCCTCAAAGAGCACGGCCTTCAGTTCGCTCTGGCTGCCCTTGCTGCCCGCCAGGTCCTTGCAGCCCAGCCCTGCCAGCCCTTCCTCCCCGCGGGGTGTGCCGGTCTCCCTGGAATCCGCCGGCTGGCAGCCCGGAGGGAGGCTGGGGCAGCTCAGCTGGGTCACCTCTTGCCCTGTCGTGCCACGAGCTGGGGGTGAAGCAGCTCCAGAGTCCAAATCCCGGGCTGTGCCATCACTGAGTCCGTGGGCAGAGCCCTTGGGCAGCTCAGGGCCGAGCCCAGGGTCACTCGTGTCACCTGCGGGGTTTTTCTGGATAAAGTGGTCTAAGGGACCTTTGCCATTGACGAGTTTTGGGGGGAAGTTCCCGTTGGAGCCCAGCTGGCAGTCGTTCTCCACGTTGTCCAGGGCGGGATCTTTGCTGGGATCAAAAGCACTGGGGGAGCTCTTGACTTTCTTGACCTCGGGATCCACCTCATATTTTTCCTTTGGCACCGGATTGAGGCGCTTGAAGGGCAGCCGAGCTGCAACAGCAACAACAGCAACAACAACAACAACAACAACAACAGGGGGTTATTTGGTCACGTCACACGGAGCAGGGGATCAAATGTCAACTTCTTTTATTAATTCTGAAGCAAAAGGTTTGAGATCAGCCACTTGGGGGAGGGTTTTAGAACAGCCAAGGTTTAGAACAACCCTCAATGTATGAGGGGGAGGCTGTGGATGGGTCTGCCTGGACTTCAGCAAGGCCTTTGGCACCATCTCCCACAGCACATTCCTGAAAAAGCTGCAGCCATGGCTTGGACAGGGGCACTCTGTGCTGGGTTAGGAACTGGCTGGAGGGCTGGACCCAGAGGGTGGTGGGGATGGAGCTGCATCCAGCTGGGATCTGGTCACTTGTGGTGTCCCCCAGGGATCAGTGCTGGGCCCAGTTTTGTTTAATATCTTTATTGATGATCTGGATGAGGGGATTGAG